GCCACAGTACAGAATGAGACATACATATATTTCACACTTTTTTTGGACTTGGCCAATGTTGGAGTTTGTTTTGGTTGACTGTGTATCTGGTATGAGAATTTTGTTTTTCCCTTTTTTGATTTGGGGTTCTGGGGTTAGGGGAACAGAGGAGAGGCTACAGATAGGTTGCTAAAGAAAAGTAAGAGGGTTATTGAAGCATTTTTATACAATACACGGAAGAGAAATAGATACCTGACCAGAAGGAATCAGACAAGAATGTTGGCATGTGGCTGAGGGAGTTGGCTACCAAAATATTAGTATGGTGGAGCCTTTAGAAAAATAAATGTTTCTATATGATCTGTGTTACTGTATAAAAGATTTTAACACCATTGAAGAAAATATGATCTACATTGAGTTATTGGCTCAATCAGAAGTGAAAAACATGACTTTGTTACCAACACACATTTTCATTAAGCCAGCTTCCTAAGAAACATTAGGCTAGAATGTCACCAATGAAAATATGCTCTGATCTATTTGTGTAAAGTGAAGCCTAATAAACTTATATTAAGATGTCCTAAAACAGACCTGTCAGTACAAAAAGGATGATATATGGTGGTACTTTTTAGGCAGCTAGGTGGAGCCATAGTGCACAGAGCACTGACCCTGGAGTCAGGTATTTCAAGTTTCAAATTCAGCCTCAGATACTGCTTAGCTGTGTGATCCAGGACAAACCTCTTTCAACCTCAGTTTTGTTGTCTGTAAAATGGGGATAATAATAGCCCCTACCTCCTAGGTTTGTCATGAGATTCAAATGAAATAATAGACAGTAGGCACTATGTAAATGTTAGTTATTATTGTTGGTGACTGATAGATCCTCTTTCTCTGCCATGACTAGAACTTTCTGTGAACTGTACAATGGAAAAAGTACTGGACTAAAAGAAATGTCAGAAAACAGGGACTAGTTGCTGTGTGACATTTTTTTTTAGGCAATTGGAGTTAAGTGACTTGCCCAGGGTCACACAGCTAGTAAGTGTCAAGTGTTTGATCTGAGGTCGGATTTGAACTCAGGTCCTCCTGACTTCTGGGCTGGTGCTCTATCCACTGCGCCACCTAGCTGCCCCATGCTGTGTGACATTTGGCAAATGACTGACTTACTCTAAGCCTCAGTTTCCAGATCTGTCAGAAGAAGGTTAGAATTTGTTCATCTGTTGTTACGTATTTCCTACAAGTGGTTTCCTGAGAATTTTTCACTTAAGTGCTTCCTGGTGATTGTATTTGATCTGAGAGGTAATAGGGAGCCATTAGAGTTTATTAAGGTAAGGCCTACTTTTTAAGAACCTGGTTCAAACTGGATCCTATGTTGTTGTCTTTATAAAAAGTCAAGACATTTGAGCCATAGAGTCTTATAAGTAAATTTCTTCTGATTTCCCATCAGAAACCCTTAGAATGGTTGGTTTTCTATAGTAATACTTTTGTAATTTATTTTTTCTCTTTTGAGGTCTTGTTGTTGTTAAGTAGTTTCATTCATGTCTTACCCTTCACGACCACATCTGGGGTTTTCTTGGCAAAGCTATTGGAGTGGTTTGCCATTTCCTTTTCCAGCTCATTTTACAGATGAAGAAACTGAGGCACACAGGGTGAAGTGACTTGCCCAGGGTCACACAGCTAGTAAGTGTTTTCAGATCGGATTTGAACTCAGGAAGAGGAGTCTTCCTGACTTGAGGCCCAGAGCTCCATCCGCTGTGCCACCTAGATGAAAACTAGACTCCTCATCCATTGAACTAGGTTTCCTTTCCCCTCCTCTTATCTTTTGAGAATGGTAAGAGAAAAACATTACTAGTTTATTCAAAGAACATCCAGCTTCTGAAGAGTCCATTATGCTTCTTGCCCAAAATACCTTTTCTGCCTACTTTCCTATATACAATCACAGAATTTCAAATTTGGAGGAGATTTGCTGTAGAGTAGAGTAAAAGCTGTAGCACATCTTACAAGATGCAAGATTTTGGAGCAGGGAACCATCTATTCCAGGGATGGGAAACCTGCGGCCTCGAGGCTACTATTTGGCCCTCTAGGTCCTCAAGTGCCGCCCTTTGACTGAATCCAAATCTTTTTTTTTTTTTTAAGGCAATTAAGGTTAAGTGGCTTGCTAAGGGTCACACAGCTAGTAAGTGTCAAGTGTTTGGTCTGAGGCCGTATTTGGACTCAGGTCCTCCTGACTTCAGGGCCTGTGCTCTATCCACTGCGCCACCTAGCTGCCCCCAAATCTTTTTATTAAGAGGATTTGTTCTGTGAAGAATTCATCCCTGAATTCTATTCTAATCCATCCCTGAGTATCAGTGGCCCCCATAATCTACTTGACAAGTCTCTGTCTTGAAGAGAAACCCATTATCCTAGAAAGCAGCTAGTTGCACTTTGGACATTTGTAAATGGTGAGGAAGCTTTTCCCAACATTGAGCCTAAATCTGCACTCCTCCTGGTTCCTGTCCTCTAGGGCCAAGCAGAACAGGGCTAATCTTTCTTCCACATGAAGCCCTTTAAGTACTTACACACACATTTCCTGAGACTTCTCCAGGCTAAACATCTCCAATACTATTGAGAGCTTTCCAAACTTATACACCATTGCTAGGATGCTGAAAAATAAATCCTTTACTTTCCCATTCATGTAAGTTTGGGGGAAAAAAAAAACCCATGTTAACTCTCATACTTATTGGTGCTCTCTCTAATATGAGCACATATAATACATATAATATCTCTTATGTAAATATATGTGTATTTCTCATCATGGTTTGGACAGTAATAATACCCAAGAGTTATTGTATCCTTTCCTGTGACGTTGAAATGAGACATTCTCATTTCTAGTCTATATTGGATGAAGAACTCTCCTAAAGAAAGTCTTGTTTCAGTGCCTCATGGGGTAGTGACACTTGGTCTTTGCAAGGCTCAGCCCGTAAAGTAAAAGCAGTAGCATGTCTTAGCAAGACACAAGATGTTATAATGTCAGTTCTGCTAGATTCCCTTGGAGTTACAAAATTTGTGTGTGAGCCTGAGCTCCAAGGAAAGTTATTTATAGGTTTCTTGAACCTTAGAGCTAGAAGAGACTATGGAAATGATCTTACCCAATCTCCTTATTTGACAGATGAGGGATTTGAGTCATGGTTAAGTGACTCTGTGCCTTGGCTTCCTTATCATGTAAAATGTGTATAATATTTAGTTATTTGCCTCATAAAGTGGCTTTGAGTAAACTACTTTGAAATTGGAGCTTCTATTCTTTTTTCTTTTCATGTACCAATTCATATTGATCCAAATCTGCTTCCCAAAAATAGCCAACACATGTTGCCAAAGACCTGCCTTGGGAAGGAGATTACTAAGGGCTAATAGAAATCTCTTCAGAGCCTTTGTTTAGGTAATACTGGTTTAAACTACAGGTTACTGGAGATTAACACTTAGTATTTGGTAGTTATCTCTTCTGAAAGGAAGGGAAGATAGAATTCTTTGGGGTATTTTAGATTTTATTGTTTTCATTACTGAACTGCTGGGCCTGGATTCAGTAAGACCTGAATTCAAATCTGGCCTCAAATATGTACTCACTGTCTTACCCTAGGCAAGTCTCTTAACTCCTTTTTGCCTTAGTTTCCTCAACTGTTAATGGGGATGATAATAGCACCTGCTTCACAGGATTATTGTGAGGATCAAATGAGATAATATTTGTAAAGTACTTAGCACAGTGCCAGGCACATAGTAGGTGCTATATAAATAAATGCTCATTCCCTTCCCTCATTGGAACATAGAATGTTTTTATGCATGACCTTTCTGGACTTTCTTCTAACATCTTTAGATTGTCTGTGTCTTCCATATTGTACTCTGACCATGTTTCAAGTTCAGATACAAGATACTATCCTAGTTAAACTTCCTGATGTCATAGCTGTTCATTTATATATTCGTGTAAAATGAAGTATTCAAGTCCAGAATAATATGGTTCAAGACTCTAAGTGTGATACGGAGTATGTATTATATTTGGCTTCGTGGTTGTGATGCAAAGCATGCAGTTAAATAGTATTTGCCAATTTATCCAGGGACTTTTAGAAAACACATCTTCTAAAGAGGGACCTATTAACCATAATTGTATCTGGTTAGCTGGTGCTTTGGTGTTTCTAGTACATTAAACAATTCCTATTCACCACTTTTTGTTCAGTTTTAATTTCTGATTTGTATTCCCTTGAATGGGAGTGGTTATGAGTGTTCTTCAGTAGAAATTTAGTGCATGAATTAAACATCAATTTCCATATCGCTTACCATGTGCCAGGCACTGCTCTAAGCACTTTACTATTATTATCTCATTTGATCCTGGTAACAACCCTGCAAGGTAGGTGCTATTTTTATGTCCATTTTACAGATGAGGAAACTAAGGCTGAGAGAGGTTAAGTGACTTACCCAGGGTCATACAGCTAGTAAGTGTCTGAGGTCAGATTAAAATGCAGATCTTCCTGACTCCAGGTCTAGTGCTCTATGCACTTCTCCACAAATGGAAAGTTAGAAAAAAAGTTTTATTTTCTATTCTGTGTGTTAGAAGCCTTTCTCAATTCTGTTAATTGCATTTAGATTTGGGTATGTCATTTTTTGGGTACATCTTGTCTTTGCTGAAGAATGAGTCTTAGTATGTCAGAGTATTTTGGTATACCAAGAGTAAGCCTATAATATTAGCTCTCCTGTAGTATCTTCCGAAACTCTCCCTCAGATGATCTTATGCTTTAATTAACCACCTGCCCTCCATTACTCTGGTGTTTGTATTGTTCCATTCTTTGGTGAAACGTCTTGCAAACTTCTCCACTTCACACTCCCAGTTCTTGAGCCTTGTGAATTTCAGCCAAGTTTAATACAATAAAAGGGGGTGGGGGGGTGATGATAATTCGAGTTATACAGCTCAGCAGCTAGAATGTCATTGGCAGGCAGTCTCCTCCCCTTCCTGAATTTCAGCTCTACCCTGCGCACAGTGGAATGACAGGCATTCCTGTCTGAGCAGAGCTGGCATGAAGGCATATTTGTAAGATCTACAAGTGTCCAGGCTGGGGAGCGGAAGAGTGAAAACTCCTGTAGATCAACTGACATCTGTGACTTTTCCTGAGATGAGGCAGTAACCTGGCTCAATGGGCTGCTCATCTCCTTCGGGCACTGTGGATTTCTCATCTCAGAAGGGCCAAGACAGCTTGTTGTTGAAAGTGCCATCAAACTAAATTTAACCATGGGGCAAGCTGTTGTCTCTGGACCGGTAAATCCAGCTGCAGTTGGTGAGTAATGAAAAGCAAAAGAAATGGTGAAAATCCTGGCTGAGAGCAAAGCAGATTTGCAGGTGATGTAGGGGGAATGTGAGGGTTTCTGACATTTCTCTAGAAATGTTTGTAAGTTTTTTAAGAATGAATGAAAACTCAGAAGCTGTTTCTCTTCTGTTTACTTTACTTGCCGTTCACCATTTTCTTGGTAGGGGTTTTCATGTTGTCTTGCTGGCTGATAGGACCTTTCTTGGGCCAGACAGGTAATGGGACCTTTATTTGGGAGTTCAGTAGACAACACAAGGAGAACTCAAGTATTTGACAGGAGTAGAATACTTAGAACCTAGGTGTGGCATTGGAACAGCTGATTGGCTGTGAGCTCTATAAAAAGGGGTGGGGCACTTTTAAGAAATGACTAAACTACTGGAGTCAGGTAAAGTATTTAAAATGTTCTTTTAAAAAAATATGGCAAGCCTTTTCCCCTTTGTTTTCTGTCTTCACCATTTTTTCCATTTCCAAACTCGGTGTTCTAGATTTGAAACATTCTTCCTGTCTCTGAAATCTAGACCACTCTGACAATCAGCAACTGCTGCTGCAGAGGTGAAAATCTCACAAATGGAATCTGACGCCTTCCTTACCTCAAGTCTATTTTCCTTAGGCTTTGGGGTTGTTATTTTTTAAACCCCACTGGTTGAATGGAGAGGAACAGCTTAACTTGAGGAAATTGGTTTTTACTGAATGGTTTGTTTAAGGATTACTAAAAAATAAGCAAGGTGAGGAAATGTCAGTAAATCATCTCTTCCTGGGTTGTTGGGTTTTTTTTTTTCTCAAATGATTAATACCTTCTTTGAGATTTTAAAAGTGGTAGAAAACAGACATGTTCAGTCCTGGATGGCTTTCTGTTAAGACATTTACAGTTTAGAGAAGAGAAAGAAAGAGGGGTGTGTGTGGAGGGGGATGTAATTGGTAACACTCCCAGTTGCCATTCAGTTCTTTAGTATTAGTGTTTCCAAAGGTAGTGCTTTCATTTGAAGACTTCCCAAGTTTTCACATAAATGCTTTTCTTGTTTTACGGAAACTGATGCACAGAGATCCCCCCTGTGAGTCAGAAACAAAGTTTTTAGAACTGAAGTCAGGACTTGACTCATTCTGTTTCAATCACTAGGGCTGGGTCTATACTAACCTAATAACTCACTTTTGGGCTAGTGAAGTCACTTGTGCTGTGGAAACAACAGGCTAAACAAGTTAAGTTTTTTAGTTGAGTTTGTTAAGAACTATGAAAAATCCACATACAATACCAAGGACTTATATCTTTTTATGTCATTCATTAATTAAAAAGTGAAAGAACTTTGGAAAGTTCAGAGCTGTTTCTACTTGGTGGAAGGTAGTGGGGATATGAAAGAGTACCCAAACTAGTAAATCAAGAGTTTGCTTGGAATAGCTAAGAGGGATGACGTTTGGATGGATGTGAATGAAGTGAAAGGAAAGATGATGAGATACCCTAACCCTGAGAAAAATGAAGAAGATAAGAGCAGTATTAGCTATTGAATGTTTCTGAAAACTTTTACTAGCCACCCAGAAACAAAGTGGGCTGCCTTGGGACATCTCGTATCCCTTGAATCCTAAGTCTCCATGACCACTTGCTGGGTGTATATGTTGTAGTGGAGATCTTTGTGGTGTCTGATGTGACCTAGGCTACTGAAGTTCTTTCTGAGTCTGTGAAAGGGAATTTTTATATTACAAGGTTAATTTTCCTGTTCTGATACTTTCCCTTATATCAAATGTTATTGACAGTTGACTGTATGGTTTTTAAGCGAAGGAATATCATTAGTATATTGTTTGAAGGTATAGTTTAGAGCTTATATTTGAAGGAAATAATGAATTTCAGGCAGTCTAAGGACTCTGTCTTGAAAGTTTTGATGGATATGTAAATTATATTTCTCACTGTGTGTACTACAGTCCTTTTTCCATATAGAAGAAAGCATTGAATGTGATAATAGATATGATCTCATCAACTCTTCCAAAAGGTGAATATGGCAAATAAATTAGAAGTTTTCATTAGTTTTCTAATAGACCTAGAATATTAGAGATGAAAGGTAACTAAGACACAGAAGTTAGAATGTCAGAGTCAGAAGGAACTTCAGAATATACAGTGCTAAAGTACAGGATGCTAGATAGAGCTGCCAGGGATCTTAAATATCATCTAATTCAGTGATTCCCAGTTTTTTCCATATAAGAAACTCTTTAAAAAAAAAAATTCTCAGACATCCTCCATGAAATTGCAGTGCTGAGATGCAGTGATGCACACACAGCTTGCTTCATCCCTTGCTCACAAGCCCCTGCTTCCTGGGCATTGCACAGGAATAATGGGGGCCATTAATCTGCTTTCATCCTCTCATTTTACAAATGAGGAAATTGTGTTTGAATTTTTTGTTCAAGTTCATTTATAGGTAATCAATGGCACAGAAAAGTGCTCAGGTCTCCTAATTTCTGATGTAGAGCTGCTGCTCTTTCTACTTCTACAATCGTTTGTTTCCCTCTACCAGGTGTAAAACACTGAACCAGCCTCTGGGGAAGATAGGAGAACTAAAACATAATTCCTGCCCATGTGCGTCACAAAATCTAGTAGGGAAATATGATATCGATACAAGTAACTATAATGGAAGGTCATATACATGTGTAAGAGGTGAACAGTGAGAACCATGTAAGGTGACAAGTGGAAAGGATTGTTACTGACTGGGGGTGTCAGGGAAACACCATGGAGGAGATAGCAAGACCTTGAAGGATGAATTTGACAGGTGGAGATGGTGGGAGAACATTCCAAGAAAAAGAATGTTGTGAACACAATATTGCTTCAGGTAGGTGCTGCCAAAGACAAGCGATGCCCCTGTCTGCAGCCTAGTGAAGCTGAAAAGTGCTAGTAAGAGATAAGCATGGGAAAATAGGTTGCCACTGGATTGGCATAGATAATACGTAAATAATGAAAAGTTGAATAACAATGAAAATATAAGTTTTAAATAACAATTCTAGGAAACCAGTGCTGTTATCAAAGAGGACTCTCCTTCTGGGAAATTAGTAGCATATACAATTGAATGTAAAAATCCTTTAAAAATTATGTCAGAGTAGCCAGTCAATGTAAAAAATGGTCACCATCTAGAATGATGAATCTTGAACACCTGCAACTTTACTACTTTTATTGAGTTCAGAATAAAACCACAACCTCTTCACTTCATTAAACAAAAATTGCCTATGTTAATTCATATTAAAGATTTATCCTGTAAGTGAAATAGATCTCTACCAGCTCTGCCTGCAAATCCGGAGTGAGTAATTCTTTGTACTTCCTGTTCAACAACATAAAAACTCTCTGCACATAGAGAGTCCTTTATTATATACCATATCAAAGTAGGTATGCTAATTAATACATGTCCTGAAATTAGTCACAAGACCAAAGAATTTTTATAAGCTCTGCCCAATCAGTCCACCCCATCTTTTCTCCCCTACTGCCCTAGCTGCTTCTTCAGCCTTCTTTTTCTTTCCCTTTCATGTCTCTACCCTCTTCTTTCCTCAGCTTTTCCAACTTCTTTCCAAATTGAAGCAAATCTCTTAAGTTGTCTGAGCCTGCATTTCCTCCTTTTAGGCTCCTGGAATTCAGAATTGAAATATACCTTAGAGACCCCCTAGTTTGAGGTTCAGAGAAAGCATGAGTGCCCAAGATTACACAGGCCATAAGCAAATCCAGGCTTGGAATCAATTTTGGCTCCAAATGTTTTGTTATTTTCACTATGCCATAGTACTTCTCTGGGCACTCTTGTAGTTCCTTACTAGCTTCTGTGAATAAGTGTTCCTCATATCAGTACTTAAGATAATCCATACTCAAAAGTTTTCTGTTTGATGGGAATTGTCCAAGCTTGTGTTTGTTCTCCCGGCCTAGCATCCAGGAATTCAGGATTTGCTCCATAGCACAGTGAGGCATTACCAGAGGACTGAGGAGATGCCTTGAAATAGATCCTGCTTTCATACATCATGTCTTCTCGTCACTTTACCATTGGTGTTTAGGCTTTTGTGCGTTGTTTTTGTCTCACGATACTGGAAGTTTCACAAGAAGGACAGGTAGATCTCAACCACCATACCGAAGGTTTTTCTTAAACCTATATTGTCTGGGTGCATTCAAATGAACTGAGAGCAGGGATAGATAACAAATGGAAAAATGAGGCAGCAAAATGTAGTGGATAGATAGAAGAGCTGGGTTCAAATACTGCCTTATATGTTTAGTAATAACTGTTGAGAAGAATCCCCGCCCCCAAAATGGCCAGCAGTACATAGCTATTCTCTGAATCATGGGGAAAACCTACAATAGGAGTTTCTCTGAGGAAGAGGAAATAGGCATAGTTTTCCTATCTCATCTAGAATCCAGCAGGAAAAAGCAGTTCAGGATCTCCTTGTGGGCTCCTTTGACCATCTAGAAAGGATTTCCGGTTCAGATACTGTACTGGGATACAATCCTCCCTACCCCCCTTACTGCGGTAAAATTCTTGAACTGGTCATGGGATAGTAGTTATTTATCTTATATTCTCCTTGCAGAAGAAAATTTTGAAAATTTTTGCATCTCCACTTTTTTGGTAACTTTTCATCAGTAAATAACCCCATGGCTTTATCCTTCATTAAAACCTTCGCGCAGAAGTTTGGTCCCGAAATACATCTTGGTCAAATTTTCTGATTTGGGAGTGTTTCCTGTCAGCCCAGGCTTGGGTAGGAAACTGTATTTTCAGATACTCAAGTTCTGACCTGGTTGTACTGGTGGAAGGGAAGAACTCCCTCCCTATTCCTCTCTAGCTGTCTCTTCACCTCAGACCGGGGGCGGAGGGGCGACATTGCTTTCTAATTCCCAAGGTAATTAATTCAATGGAGTGCTTTTTAAGATGATTTACTATTCTACCACAACTATGACTTGACTGGTGGTCAATTTAGCTTCTGTGTTTTTGTTAGTTTCTCCCTGTACCCCAAATCAAATGAGAAGG